ACCAACGGGCCGGATGTGGCCCGCGGGCCGTAGTTTGCCCACCCCTGATCTAAGGCCTCTCCATCATCATCAGACTGGTCTCTCCAAGGACCACAGCCAAAGAACTATGAAATGAGTGCTTCTGAATTTGATAAAAGAACTTCTGGGATGAGGGTGCAGGCACATTTCAAAAAAAAAGAACTTAACTTCCAAGCTTAACACAAACTGCCTTCCAGCAAATCTTGATTTCAGAATCCGATTTATTGATCTAAGGATTATTTCCCTACTGAAAGGCTTTCCTTGGTGAGTTCAAAGCACTAGCAGCTTTCCCAGCTTGATCCAGAGAACACCAGAATCCAGATTCTCTGAAAAACAGCCAAGTCCTGTCATTCCTGATATAGTGCCAGTGTTAATTACTCCGAATATCAATTAGGGACTGAGCTGGCTTCGGGTACTTCCCTCTTCCTTCTCATAACTCGTATTTAAATTGCTTGCCATTCACTATCATTAGCTTCAATGCCGGTTAGCTTCAATGAGCCTTGCTCAGAGTTTCAAAGTTCACAATTGGCTCTTCCAATTCGACTTGAGGCCAGGAATGGAAGGAGGGTTGCCTCTTTCACTTCCTATTCCCAAAATAAAGGAACTGAAAACTGAAATGAAAACAAAGCATATTCTGTCCTTGATTTGGAAAAGTAGCCCCAGGGCTGGTTTCAGCATTTGCCATGCCAAGACAGATCTGTCTGGACAGGGAAAGAGATGAAGCCAAAGCCTTACATTGTGCAGCCAGCAACTTCAAAAGCCACTTGAGAGATGCTGGACTCTGCGGGTCTCATTCCACAGCTGGTGTACACTGAACTGCGAAGCATCTCCTCCTTTCTAGATGAAGTTTAGAACCAAGAAAGTAATCCGATCCACGTCTGCGGAGATTCTCAGCCACCCAGGTCACAGCTATTTCAAAAGACAACTGGACTGTTTTTTGTCTTGACAAAGAAGGAAAAAAAGTTCCTCAAGGAAAACAAAACAGTCCACTTGCCTTTTGAAAAAGCACTTTTGGGAATCCGAGCCACAACTCCCATTTTTGCTCTGCAGGATGCTGTTTTTTCGATGGATCGAAACCATCCTCTGCTACCATTCTCCCCTTTTGGGTGATATAAATATATAATACCTTTACAATCTAACCCCATAGTTTTCACAACTCTCCTGGTGCTTCCTGGCACCTTGGGCTTTTGTAAAATTATCAGCTACATTGTCCTCCGACATGCAGTACTTCAGCTGTATCATTTTACTTCTCACAGATTGTCTAATGTTTAGGTACCTTAAATCTGTATGCTTGCTCCTAGTTTTGACTGCAATATTTGTGGCCATTTGAATTGCTGCCTGATTATCTTCATGTATAATTATAGGATAATTCACAGTTATGCCTATATCATTCATCATTTGCTTATACATAATCAATTCTGTACATAATAGCGATAAACAGGAGAATTCTGCCTCCATAGTTGACAAACTTATATGCTGTTGTCTTATTGACTTCCAACCTATTAATGTCTTACCCAGCATTATGGCTGTTCCTGAAGTCGACTTTCTTGTGTCTCTTTCTGATGCAAAACTAGCATCAGCATAAGCACTCAGAATTAGATCACCTTTTGGCTCTAGATACAATGAATAATTCATTGTCTTTTTAAGATATCTTAATATTCTTTTAGCTGCAATCCAGTGTCTTTCACTTGGTGCAGAATTGAAACGAGCTAACTGATTCACACTGTACGATATGTCTGGTCTAGACCAATTGCTAATATAAGACAAACTACCTATTAATGATTGATAAATTACCTTATCAAACCCCAGGCTTTGTGCATCAGTGTTGCTAAACTCCTGACTCATTGGAGTCTTAGCCGGCTTACAAAGCTCCATTTTATAATCTATTAGCAATTTGCATATCTTATCTTCCTGAGATATCTTAAAGCCCTTCTGTGTTTTCTGTATATTTAAACCGAGATATTTTTTTATCTCCCCTAATTGCTTAATCTTTATTTTCTTTCCTAATGATGCTATTATTTTATTGGCCTCATCATTAGTTTCAGTAATCAATGCAATATCATCAGTGAACAACAATAATAATGATATTTTCCCATTTGTCTCCCTCTTAAATAGACATGGATCGGCTAACCCAGCTCTGAATCCTATATTGTTTAGTTCCTTTACAATATACTGGTTCCATTCATAGCCTGATTGTTTAAGATCATAGAGGCTTTTTTTTAACAACCAACAATCATTATTATCTATTATTTCACTTTTAATTCCAACAGGTTTTTTCATATATATAGTGTGTCTTAATGGGGCGTGCAAGTAAGCGGTTTCCACATCTAGGTGGTTAATTATATATTTTTTGCTAGCTGCCCACACTAAAGCTGCCCTCAAGGTTGCTGCCTTAAGACTAGGTGCAAACACCTCATCATAGTCATTGGCATTCTGTCTAAAACCTTGGGCTACTAATCGTGCCTTATGGATTATATTTCCATCTTTATCAGATTTTACCTTAAAGATCCATTTGCAGCCAATGGACTTCATATCTACAGGTAATCTCGCATTCTCATATACTTTCATATTCTTTAATGAGTTCAGTTCCTTATTCATTGCTGCATACCAACTTTCCTTATCCTTAGTAGGATACATTTTTATTTCATCTACAGTACATGGAACTTTATTAATCTGGCACACTGTGTTAGCCTGGTACCTATCAGGCGGTCTAGATATTCGTGTAGTTCTTCTGGGAATTACAGGGCTTGCAGGAGGACTTTTTTGAACTACTACCTGTTCATCTTCCTCATCCTGCTCAGCTATTGGATCTATTTCTTCCTTTATGGGCTCTATTTCTTCCTGTATTTCTCTCTTTACTTTATTCTTAAAGTTACAGGGATAACTAATGGGATTTCTATAGGATTCAATAATTACTTCTTTATTGGTATCCTGTTCTAACTTCTCCCATCCTACGTGCTCTAGAAATTGGGCACTAGCACTACATAACACCTTAGATGTGCCTTTCTCCCAAAATCTATATGCCCTATGGTTTGCCTGGTAACCAACGAAGAAAAATCGTTTAGCTCTATGTTGCCCTTTATGCCTGAGTTGTGTAGGGATATGCACCCATGCTGGTGCACCAAATGTGTGCAGGTAACTTAGGTCAGGTTTCCTGCCATGCCACTTGGTGAATGGTATTTCACCTGTCGTTGTGTTAACAACATTGTTCAATATGTTATTAGCACACATTGTAGCCTCCCCCCACAAAGAATCAGGTAATCCAGAATCAGTTAACATTGTTCTAACCATTGCCTGTAGTGTTTGGCCTCTTCTCTCTATGAATGCGTTGTGTTCTGGCCTGTATGGTGCAGACTTCTTGTGCTCTATTCCAGCTACCTTTAGTCTGTTCTGGAATTTGTTGTTAACAAATTCCGTACCATTATCTGTCACCAGGGTTATCAGTTGCCGTTTAGTCTTTCTTTCTGCAAATTTAAGCCAGTTGAAAAAATGTTGATATGTTTCAGTTTTGCTCTTCATTAAGTAGCAAAACCCATATCTAGAATGGTGGTCCATAATGCTCAGTATATATCGAGCACCCCCCATACTGGGTTTCTTTGGACCTATGATGTCTGCAAATATCACTTCTAAAGGTTCTTTGGTTTTGAAACCATTTAACCTATTTGCAGGCAATACTTTGCTCTTATCTTCACAGCAAACATTACAACGCAAATATTTATCACAAGGTTTTAACCTTATTCCATCAGATAACTCTACTGTACGTTTTAGCATTTTAAAATTTACATGCCCCAAACGCCTATGCAATAAATGGATACATTCATTATGAGGCTTTATATTGTTAAATACAGTCTGTGCCTCCCTTTTCTTACTATCATCTAAGACGTATAACGTTCCATTTAAAGCTGCAGTTACCCTTTTTTTATCCTTCTCAATTATGCAATTATTATTTTTAAATGTAATTGCATAACCTAGTTTGACTAATACCCTTACAGAAAGCAAGTTGAACCTTAGTTGCGGTACATACAACATTTTTATATCCTGATTTATGCACGGACAATGTGCAGTACCTTCTCCTTTCGCTTTCAGGTTCCAGCCATTAGCAAGTGATATATGTTGAGAGCTTGTAGACATTTTTACAAATTTTGTCTTATCTCTCGTGATGCAGTGGGATGCACCACTGTCCACCACCCATAAATCATTCTTCACATCACAGTTGCTAAACATGGCTAGTTCAAAGGCTTTCTTGGGCTTTTTTACATTCTGGCTTTTTCCCTTTTTGCAGAAACTTGCCAAATGTCCTCTTCCTCCACAATTAAAACACTTTTTAATTGTGTATGCCGTCGAAGATAAATTCTCTTCTTCCGGGTGCTTTACTTTACTAAGCTGGTTTCTATCAAGCTTTGAAGATAATTTCTCTTCTTTCTTAGATTTATCTTCTCTCAGCTGGTCACGTTCACACCTTCTTCTGGCTTCTTCTAGTAGCCTGCCTGTAATCTCGGTTAATGAGAGGCTATCTTTAGGCAATACTTCCAACGAAGTCACATAGTCATCATAGCTTTGATCTAATGAAGATAATATAATGTATACTTGTTGCAGCTCATTAAAGATAAGCTCTTTTTCTTGTAATTCTTGAAAAATGCTCTTCATACAGTTTAAATGAGCTAACATATCTCCATTCCTTTGAAGATGTGTTCGAAACAGCTTCTGTGTAAGATTTATTTGTGCTCCTACACTGTCCCGAACATATATCTTCCTGAGGTTCTCCCAGCAGTTTGCAGCATTTTCTTCTCCACGAATATGGACAAGCTGCTGGTCACAGAGAGTCAGTCCTATGATGCATAAAGCCTGCTCATTCTTCCGTTTATAGTCTTGTAACTTTTTGTTATCCTCTTCATCATCAGGATCCCAGCTACTCACATCTGGTGGGTTTGTTATTATGTCCCACAAACCTTCTCTACATAGAAGTAAACTACATTTCATTGGCCATGAAACATAGTTTGTTCCATCCAGCCTGGATATCAGGGACAGATGTGGTAGATTTACTTGTGCCATTACTCTTCAGATACATGACTATTTTATACTAATAAAAACAGTTTGTTTTTACAGTAATGTGCAACTCACACCAACTCACACTGCTATATCCTGGTTAGTTAGACTGCGCAGCTGGGCCCATAACCAGTGTTAGTGTTTGGGGATAAACCCCTAGCAGAGTATGCAGCAGCAGTCAAGCCAGGCAGCCAAATGAGAGAGGAAGGGTTTTAGAGTATACACACACTGAACACAAACACTGTTTGTAGTTTAAATAGTTTTTAATCCAGTTAGAGTTTAAGCATTGTCAATCAGTCCGTATGTCATTCACAATATATCCATTCAGTAAGACTCACTAACTCAGTCCAGATAATACTCCTTACTATATCTTTATCAGCCGATAAAGATATCTTCTCCTCCTCCGATTCCTTTCTCCAGAGGATAACGCTGGATATTCAGTAGAACGATCAAACAGTAGACAGTCGCAGTAAAACAGTAGTAAACAGTTGTATCCAGCAGTAAACAGCAGTAAACAGTAAACAGCAAACGGTAAACAGTAGGACAGTAGGCAGTAAGTAGCAAGCTTTTTCTTATTGCAGTTTCTAACCGCACCCTTAATTGGCTAATTACATGCAGTGTGGTGCTTAAAATTACAAACACTTAAACTATGATACCTTAGTTTATATATTTATCCACCCAAACCTTGTTGGGTATCAATGTTATACCTAACAGTGTCAATGTAACCAGGGGCTTCCAGCCTCTGCTGCCAGACTTCAAGGGAGTGGCATTTGGCGCACTCCAGGTTGCTCCTTGCCCATGGTTGCCCATTGCCATGCTCTGCTTTGCAGGAGTCCCTCTGCAAGCTGCCCCCAGACTCCGTCATCAGAATTAGGCAAAATCTTATGTCCTTGTTGGTGCAGTTATATATGGATTCCAGAGGGTTAGAAGCAAGTAATCCTGCCCCCAAACTCTGTTTCTATCTTGCGTCCCTTAGAGCCGCCCCCACCCCCCAAACCAGCAGTCCCTGCAGTTTGCAATCAGTTCAAGGGCCGCACTGGGAGGAGGCTGTCGACTGCCCAGGAAATGCTTCTTGGGGAACTTGCTCTTAAGTAGCAGCTCCGTCAGTGTGCAACAACACAAAGAGAAGTTTTTTGGGTGGGAGGCTTTTGTAAGGTCGGCAATGCTTTCCCTGATGCTACAGCTCTTTAGCAGCAAACTGGCCTTTTAAATGTGTTCTGCTTCTCAATTGGTGGTCTAAAAGCAGGGTACCCCACCCCAAATACCTCAAACACTGCAGCAATCCAAGGAATATGTTGTCATTATAAAGTGTCTTTCTTCTGGGATTGCAGTAAAGGAGTCTCTCATTATTTTATCCTCACACTGCCCTGTGAGATAGGAATGCTTAAAGAGAGTCACTGGCCCATTAAACTCACTGACCGAACAGGGACTTGAACCTGACTCACTAGTTCTAATCCAGCCTCTGAACGATCACAGCATTTTAGCTATCACACACTATTCCTTGTATTTATAGAGAGGAACTTTGTTTAAAAGCCTCCATGTCACACATTTCACCTGGCAACTTTTAGGAGTTTTAGGGGTGTGGAGCATTAAGCCATTAAACATTTTGGAAGATTTGTTTATTAAATCTATATGCTGCTCTGCCCATCAAGTGAATCTGGGTGGCTAGAGATTCTAGCAAGACCAGAATCAACTGTCATGTCTCACTCAGACTTTGCAAGGGCTGCTCCAGAGGGTCAGGTGCCTTCCCACAAGCCGTAATCATGATTGATTTTAAGCACCATGAAGCAGCTCCTGCTTCTTAAGCAACCCTAATTTTTATTCCAAGCACACAGAAACACTTGCAAATGAGAGGGTGGCCCTTGTTCCCTGTGGCCTCACACACTCCCAGGCAGCAAGGGTGCAAGATACATTATGAGAACAAGGGACCAAAGCAGTCACATCTCTCCCACAAGCACACCTCTTGCATTTCCAAGCCTGGCCTAGTAAAAAAACCACACTCATTTACTCACTCTCATATACACACAGACTGTACTCATCCATCCTGCTAAGCCAGGCCAGCCTTTTGTGTGCTCCCAACCATGCTACGCAAACACCGGACAAGTCACTTTTTGCTCAATGGGACCCTATTGACTCAGTGGTGAAAAGCTGCAGCATGCACTTTGGTGGGGTTGGCCACTTAAAGGCAGAGGAACTTTTCTTATTTGGGGAAGCTCTGAAGAATTCTCAGCCATGGCAAGTTTCAGGATTCTTCAGCCTCTCCAGGAGAGGAGAGGAGCTGTTTGGTTGTATCTTCAATACCTTTCCCATTCATGCCTACAAAAAACAGACTCCGTGGTAGACCGGCTCATCCCCTTCTCAATTAGTAGAGAAGTAGCTGGTACAAATGATAGGCACCTCGCCTTAGATGACCCTTCGGCAGCCTTCCCTGCTTACTTCCTGACCGGTACAGGGCCCCTGTCCTCGTAGCAGAGGTGCAGGGCCCCGAAGTGGTGCCAAGCCCCACAGCATCTTAGCCTGTGCCTCAGCTTGCCTGGGTGACTACTCCCACCGTGGGTCTTCCTAGGTAGTGGGAAAAAGGAGAGTCTCGGGGGAAGGCAGGGGCTCTGCAGCCCTTTCGGCAAACAAAGCAAGGCAACTTCAGCAACTCCCTGAAAGCTGGACGGGCCACCTGTGCCCAGACAGCAAGCCTCTCCTCAGCATTTCTGCCTTGATTTCAAACATCTGCCTTTGAGAGCCAATGGAGCTGCTCTGTTTTTGCTCATGATGTGACACAGTGTGGGGGTCCCTGACCCCCAGGATGCAGCTTGCAATTGGGCCATGGTTCATTCGTTCGGAACCAGGCCCTGCAAACAGCAAGTGAGTGCATGCACGCAACTCCATTTGCACAAGCATGCCTGCCTGCCACTCACACTGAGTCATTTCTTCTCTCCACCCACCCCCCACCCTCACTCACCAGTCCACAAAGCCAGAAAGGTTGGGGACCATTGGTACAGAGGTACCTGGGAAGTATGTGAGTGCAGCCCATATTTAGAAGCAAACAGAAATCACTTTCACCTACAAGGGGATGCCACACTCACCTACTTGCTCAGACTATAACATGTTCTCCATGCTGGATTCAATGTGGGTTGCAGGGGAAAAAGTGTCTCAGGTAGGCAGTCTCACTTTTCCTTCACATCCTCCCTCCTCTCTGCTAAAGGAAGCCAACCTTCCTTTCCTTTTTGCAAAGCCCCCCAGGTGGGAGAGTGTCTCTGACTTACCCACACAGTCACAAGTTGGGAACTCAGCTTGAGCTCGCTTGGCAGGCGTGTCCAGCAAACTTTTGGTTGGGGTGTCCAAGTATTTCAAGGGAGATTCCAAAAATCCACTGAGAGTTGGCAAAAACGGCTCTTTACTCTTGGTTGGAGTTCCTTCCAGGGTTGCCGGGTCTGTGTTTTGGTTTTCGTCAGAGTAAAAGCATGTGGTGGAGACCACCGTAATAGCACCAGAGGATTCTATTTTTATGTGTTTCGGGGATCGAACGGCAAAGGGGTCTTCTGAGGATTGACTGGCCCCTGGAAAGAGGGAGGTTTTGAGACCCGTATTGGGAGTGTCTGCCAAAGGTTGTGCACCTTCCTGGGCTGAAGGCTGGACAGCAACCTCCAAACCACCTGGTGGCTCTGGAGACTGGCTCAGAGAAGAGAGTGGGAGCAGGGGGGAAGGGGGCTGAATTGGGAGAGGCCCCTCATTGAGAAGCAGTGGGGCTGGAAGATCTGGATTCTGAAAGGTGAAATTCTCACCAAACTCAGTCTCAAATTCTTTGATAAATTCCTCCAGCTTGTCATCCACTGCAGTAGGATTCTGGGTGAAGAATGGATGGGCTGTTGAGTGAGTTGTCCTGTGGAAGGCTTCCTCATGCCCATCGCTGCAAGCCACAGCAGAGGAGCATGGAGCAGAGCCCGGCCCAGGGTTGCTGGCTAGGGGCACAACTTCACAGGCAGGATTCCCTGGGAAATAACGCTGGGTCTCCTCCTGGCCAGGATGGCAGGTTTCCTGAGTGTTGGAAGCTGGGCTTCTATTTTCAAGTAGCTTCTGCAACGGAGACTTCTCTGAAAGGCTGGTGGCCAGGGAAGCGGGAGACAAAAGCTTGGTAGGAGTAGAGAGGAGCTGTTCAGGTTGAACCTCTTTTCTTGGGCACTTGAGAGTGGCAGCTGCACGACAGCCCTCCAGGCTGATCTGCCTTGCGGGCAAGAAGAGGGGCTGAGAATCCTTCTGCCTGGACTTCTTGATGTGGATTTGCTTGCGGAAGGGCTTCTTGGAGCCACCGTTTTCAGGCTTCTTCTTCCTCTCCTTGACCGGCTTCTCCAGCTGCTTTGGAGGCGGCTGAGCTTGAGCCCTGGGGGCCCACCAGTGGGGCAGCAGCTCCTGCGTCCCCCCATGAGCTCCATTCTGGTCAAGGAAGAGGCTGCGCTTGTGGTGAAGGTGCTGCTGCAAGGCCTTCTGGGTTTTCTTGTGGAAACTGCTCTCCTGCAGGAGCTGGGACAACTGTGGGCTGGAAGAGGGGGAGTGGTGACAGCCAGCAGGGGTGTTTTCGTCCTTGTGGGTGAGGTGCTCCTGCTTTGGTTTGGCCACTCTTGCTTTGCCTGGGATGCCTCCGGGCTGCTTGAAGACAGATCGCATGCAGCCATTGGAACTGCCCAGCAGCTGCTCCAGCTCCGCCATGGTGTCACTGACCAAGGAGGATGGGGAAGGGCTGAGGTTTGGGTCCCACCCTCCGACTTTGGGCTTCGTTTCTTCCCTCTGTGGCTCAGCGAACTCTGCCTTCAGGGGGGTAGAGTTGCAGGTAGGAAACAGACCATCCGGTTCCAGATGGCCATTGCTGCGGTCAAGGCAATAGGGGGCTTCATCCTGAGCACATTTCACCCCCTGTGGCCAGGAGGGGGATGCAGATGCCACTGGAGTTGGGAGCAAGCGGTGACTCGCCTCAGACCTGGAGGGGTGGCTCTGGCACATTCCAGCACTAGACACAGGTAGCACCATGCTGGGGTTGTGCGCTGAGAGGAGGGGAGGCTGCTCTTGGGAGCCAAAGGCCATAGGGCTTCGCATGGGGCTCCCAGGAGGGGGCAGAGCCTGCGTGGCCGGCTCTGGAAGAACCGTGGAGAGCTGGGTGAGGGCTTCGATTGCAATGGCCGTCTGGAGACTAATGTTCTTCTCCTTTGCAATGTTCAGTGCACTTTGAGAAAGGGGGAGGGCTTCCAGGGGGCCCAGAGTCACCTGCTCGCCTGCAGCCGGTCCCTGCTTGGCATTAGCACCCCTGTCTAAGGGGGGCTGGAGAACTTGGCTGAAGGGCTGGGCAACGCAGCTCTCCTCTTCTCCAGTGGCTGATTGGATCTTCTTCTCCAGCCATTCCAAGTAGTCTGGGCACTCAGGACCATCACAGTTGCAGTTGGGGGGTTTCATGCCTTGCTTGGCCAAAGTAAGCGCAGCTTTGAGGGCATTCAGATCCTCAATTCCAGGATAGCTGTTGGGAGGAGGCATTGCCAAACCATCCTCTACCTCACGGTTCATCTCAGCGTTAAATTTTTCATACAGCTGCATGCTTAATGCGGAAGGGGATGCGAGAGGTGCCAACCCATGTGAAGACATGGCAGCCTCTGCTGCTGCTGAGAAAGCCACTAAGTTTTGAGCATCCTCCAGGTTGGCATTGCTGCTGGAAGAGTCTCCCTGGCTCAGGACAGCAGGTGTGCTCTCCCAGCAGGCGACCTCTTGCTTGGCGCGCGGGCTGCCAAGCCACATGCCGGGATCCATTAGCATGGCCCCTCCTCCAGCAGCTGCTTTCCCTTCGCCATTGGCCAGGCCAGCGGGGAGGGCGTCTCTTAACCTTCCTTCTTCGGCATGGCTAAATGGCTCTTCTTCCATGTGGCCTGTTTTGGGTCCATCAACCAAACGGCTGTCCAAACTGGTCTGGAAAGGAAATTACAAAAAAAAAAAAAAATTAGTTTGAAAATGGCTGTTTCCTTTTAGTCTTTTCTAGAAAGAAAAAAGAAAAAACACCAGCAGCATCTTAAAAATGAGCACATGGAGTGGGATATATTTCTGTGAATTAAGAATCGGCCCATTTCAATCACCTAGTTTTCAAGCCTGTGATCCAGCAACCCCAGGGGTCCAAAAATATGCTGGAGGTGCCATTTGCCCCCCCAACAGTCACCATTTCATGAAACGGTTACCATTTCCAAAGAGAATTTTAGATATAGTGATTAAGATGCTGGCCTAGAAACCAGGAGGTGATGAGTTGCAGTCCTGGGTGACTTCGGGCAAGTCACTCTCAGCCCAATCAAACTCATAGGGTTGTTGTTGGGGGGGGGGGGGAGAGGAGGAAGCAGCATTAAGTACGTTCGCCTCCTTGAGTTACTATAAGGTAATATAGGTGGGATAAAAATCTAATAAATAAAACAAAGTATAAGTTTTCATAAGTGGCATGTATAAGATTTAGCAAAATCTGAGGAAGAACTCCATAATCACAATAACATGTGATTTCACAAGATTTCAGCCACTCAAAGCAAAATTAAAATATTCCTTATTTAATTTGGGGAGTTTTGGTATGTCATCTGAGGATGTCCCATGTGATATCCCGTAGTACCCACAGGCACCCTTGCCAAAGCCTGGTTCAAACAATCATCATCAAAACTTTGACTGATAACAGAGCTTGGGGAGATTCAACAGAGTTCCTGGAAGTGCCAAGAGGTATTTATAATAGAGACCGAGGAACTTAAGAAATGAGATTCAATGGTTGGGAAAGTTTCCAATTCAAATCCTAAGCAAAGGTTTTATTACAAAAGGTCGATCAAGGATATTTGATCCTGGACAACAGATTAGAGATCCTGACTGGGGTGATCTGTGGTAGATACACTGTTGTGGACTTTCTAGGAGGTAATTGAAATAACAGATTGATCAAAGAGGGCTTTGAAGTTTAACTTTGCTGTTGATTAACCTGTTAACTATTTTTTTTCTTTGTGTCTCTGTGTGTGTGTGTGTGTGTGTGTGTGTGTGTGACAGGTAGGTCAAATTGGGTTGCAAATGGTTGTAGAAGTTTATAAATCTAGGGCCTGTTTTGCAAGGAGAAAGCTATTATTATTGCAATATATTTGTCAATGTACAACTAGGGGAGATAATATGTGTTTTTGGTTTTTTGTCCTTTTAACATTTGTAATATTTTTGTCTGGATTTTTTTGTCTCTGTAATTTCTTTTTCATTTCTTTTGGATTTTGCATTTTAATTTTCTGAATAAAATAAAAAAAATATGTTAAAAGGAACCAAGTCCCAGGATTTTCTATTCGTACCTCCAGGGTATAACAGATGAGACTCAACTGATCAACTCATGAGACAACAGTTTATGATTTTGGTGACAAGCAACAGGAGGGAGGATTTTGTGATTACTGCTGAAAACAGAATTATGGGTCCCTTCGGTGATTGATTCAGAAACCTAAAAGAAATTCTGTTCTGGACTCAGTAGATTCCAGCAACCCCATATCCTCCAGTGAGTGAAGAGATTCAGAAAATATCAACCAGCCTCAGCGCACACGCACACACACACCCAGCCGATTTGCTGCCCCCAATCTTGCTCAAAGAGCCTGAAACTGACTGGCAGTAGTTTCAGTGTGCTTTTAGTCTTGCAATTTAGATCTCTATGAGACAATCAGAGGTCTCTCTAACTGACCCATAGGAAAAATAGATGATTCAATCAGCTCAGCTCAATGACTGACTCAGATTCAATCGTTCCACCAGCTGCCACTGATCCAGGAGAAAAATAAATCTGCTCTTTATTGCTATCCCCCAACGTTGACATAATAGAAAGCAGGCATGAGATGATGGTTTGTTCAAAAGAAAAGGAAGAGATAAACCTTCAAGTAATGACACCATTACTATTGCACTGAATAAAAGGGCAGAGAAACTGAGCTGGATTGCTTTATAAATTTTGAAATAAATATATAAACAACTCTGCTTTATCAGCAGTTCTGCAAACAGTTAAATTTCCTGCTATTTCTACCCTGATTATTAGCTGCTGTAGTTTTTTTGCATTGGGGAAGAGAGGGATATTAGCGCTAAGGAATACCAACAGACTCCAAAATTCCACTCAAACAAAGTCAACTATTACTTAATTTTTATGTGACTATTTTGCACATCCTCGCAAGGCTCTTCATTGCATAAATGTCCCAGGGTAAGTAAATTTTTATTTTGGGGGAGGGGAGTTTGACACTGACAAAAGTGCTACTTTTCCTCAGCAGGCCTGCAAAAGCCAGGCTGTTTGGGGGGGGGGGGGGAGGGTGACCATTCTGTCCTTGAACAGAAGCCCAGGGACATGGCAGGGACCTTCAGCATCCTTTGGCCCAACTCCCTGACCAGTATTGGTATCCTCTCTCTATCAGCATCCCTGACTGCTGACAGTCTATTTCTGCTCCAAGTCCTCCAGTGAAGAAGAGTTCACCAAATTCTGAGGAAGATTGTTTCATGGGTTAAGACGTTTTAACCTTCAGAATTCTTTCCTGGTGTTTGGCCAAAATTTATTTCCTTGTTTAACCCCTTTCTTTCTTGTCCTCTCTTCTGTCCCATCTTCTTTCTGACAGTCCTTTAGATACTTGAACCCAGCTATCTATCTCCTTCGGCTTCTCTTTTCCAGGCTGGCCATATCCAGTATGTCTAGCTATTCTTTGTAATTTTTTCTTTCCAGACCTTTAATTGTCTTGGATGTTTTTCTCACAATACACTCCAGTTTGTTTATTACATTTTTATCCCACCTCATATACTTAATAAGTAACTCAAGGTAACAAACCTCCATCTCCCTCTTCTTTTTCCCATAATAACAATCCTGCAAGATGGGATAGACTGAGAGATCTAGCTGATAATTTTGTCATCTAAAACAGTGATCCCCAACCTTTTTTACGCCGCGGCCCGGTACCGGCATCAGCTGGGCGCCGCGGCCCGGTACCGGCATCAGCTGGGCGCCACCATCTTTTTTTGATGAAAAAGTGCTTCCGGTGACCTCACCGGAAGCACTTTTTCATCAAAAAAAGATGGCAGCGCCAGCGCTTCTGGTGAGCTTTTCCGGGTGGAAATGGCTTTCTACCCGGAAAAGCTCACCGGAAGCGCTGGCGCCGCCATCTTTTTTTGATGAAAACATGCTTCCGGTGAGCTTTCTACCCGGAAAAGCTCACCAGAAGCACTTTTTCATGAAAAAAAGATGGCGGCGCCCAGCAAGCCAGCGGCCCGGTAGGACCGGTGGTTGGGGACCCCTGATCTAAAAGATAGAGGAGGGAACTAGAGGGTCAACTTTACTGGACTTAATTCTTACTAAAAGAGATGAAATGATAGAGGGGGTTGAAGTTGCCGGAACTTTGGGGGAAGAGTGACCATGACATATTGAAATGGAATATGAAACAAACACAGGCAATAGAACAAGCCAGGATCTTAAACTTTAAAAGAGCTGACTGTGACAAACTCAGAGAGAGCTCGGGAAGGATTCCATGGATGAAAATCTTAAAGGGGAAAGCAACTCAAGAAGTTTGGGAAACTCTGAAAAATTTGGTTACAAATGCCCAGTTCAGCACAATACTACTGAAATAGAAAAACAAGAAATCTAAGAAGAATCCAGCATGGTTACACAAAGAACTCTCTGATAAACTGAAAGCAGGACAAGAAGCAATGGATGGAAACTAAACAAGGAGAGAAGCAACTTAGAAAAGGAGGAATTTCCTGACTGCTAGAACAATTAATCAGGGGAACAGCTTGCTTCCAGAACTTGTGGATGCTCCATCATTGGAGCTTTTTAAAAAGAGACTAGACAACCATTGACCTGAAATGGTATAAGGTCCCCAACTTCAGTGTGGGGTTGGACTGCAGGAACTTGAGGGTTCCTTCCAACTCTGTTATTCTGTTCTATTCTTCTGGATCCAAACCTTCAAGTGCAAAGGAAGTCCACAATGGCATAGGATCTCCTGCCATGGGCAGAGGGTTGGACCAAAGACCTCCAATGTCCCTTCCAACTCTATTATTCTATGTTCTACTTTCAATCTTCTTTCCACAAGTAACAAAGAAATATGTGGTCTTCCCCAAGAAACCATATATGGCCTGGCTGGATTGGCTCTGGAACAGCTGCCCAGATTGGCCTGAACAATTCACTTTTGTATCACCCATAACAGCAACACCCCTTAGCTAATGTCTCATTGCATATACAGTCATTCTCATTCCGTGCAGCGACTCAGGAGCCCTGGTGGCGCAGTGGTTAGAATGCAGCACTGCAGGCTAACTCACTGCTCACGCCAGAAGTTCGATTCTGAGCGGTTCAAGGTTGGCTCAGCCTTCCACTCAGCTTTCCGAGGTCAGTTGGGGGCAACATGCTGACTCTGTAAATCACCTAGAGAGGGATGTAAAGCACTGTGAAGTAGTATATAAGTCTAAGTGCCATTGCTACTTCAGCTTGAGGCCCAAAGCTGGCTGCCACCAAAAAGGGAACCTTCTGTCCCTGTTAAGGGAATCCTATTTCAAGCTCTGTCCAAAGAGCTGGTTTTGGTTTACTCCAAAAAAATGATGCACATGGATTCTGGGAAAGGCTTATTATGCCTTTGTTACATACTGTAAGCCAATATTAGTGGTACAAGAAGCCTGCTGTGTCCACCACAAGGCACTGTGGGGAGACATCCGAAAGCAATCACACCCAAGACAAAGCTTGCGGGGGGGGGGGCCCCAAAAAACACTTCCCCCCCCCACCTTCGGGGGCTTCGGGGGGCTGGGGCTTTTTTCCCGCAGGGGGGGGGGGCAGCAGAGGGGAAACTGCTGCTGTAGCAAAACCACTGTGTGGGTGAATGTTTAAAGTTAACATGCAGGGGAAATCCATCAAGGGCTGGAGAACTATTTTATGGAAGCATTTCAAACAATATTTCTTGACTCTGCTACAAGCATCCTTGTTG